AGTGACTATAATTTTATGCTCTTTTTGGTCATAATTATGAACATACGATACCATAAATATTAGTTTCCTACTTTTACTACTTTTTGGACATGTTTTCTTGTGCCAAGTAAACAAGTTAAATTTGCAAAAAGTGCTACTTTTTACTTTCCACGTTTGAAAAAAGACCAATGACAAACAATCCCTACTATATCAACTGTCAAAATATATGATGCTTATTTGGATTTAGTATGAAATTGGCTGCGAAAAACTACAATTAAGTCCACTATTGGAAAAAAAAGGAACTACTTTCTGAAACTTGCACAGTTTTATTTAGCAAACAGAAAGATCTTGTGGATGATGTTGAATCGATACAATGATCTTTGTCACTGCCTTACTATTCGCCTCTTGACAGCAGATTAGTATCCAAGACAAAAGAATTTAAAATTTTTTCTTTAAATCCAAATACGTTGGTAATGACTCATAAAAGAATTAAAATATTAAATATTTAATTGAAAATAATATAATCCATAAATTGAAGACTTTATAAAAATCTGATCAAATATATATTATATACTACAGAATTGATAAATGAAATGACTAAACGTGTTGCGAAGTTTTTTACGTTATTACAATGAACAACAGGAAAATAATCGAGGCCCTCTATTAACAAATGTAGAGTTTTCACAAGGTTATGACTAATACAAGTCATTATATACTTTTGCGTAATACTTATTTATTAAGTCAATTTAAATAAATATGTATAATAATTCTAAATCAAATTTCAGTCTTACGAGATATAAATTCAACTCAAAGCAAAAACACCAAACCCAAGAAAAACAAATTCGTCCCTGGATTTTGAAAACAATGGCAATAAGCATTTTATTAAATACAATATTAATTAACTGAGTAAATGAATGTTCGCATACTATGATTGTATTTATGAATGCTTTAATTTCATTTAATTAAATTATATGCAATAAAAAAATTATTATTTATTTAATTTGTTTAATCCCAATTCAATAACTTCATTTTCACCTGGATGCATTTCAATAAATAACGAAGATAAGCCATTTTATTCAATTTTATAATTAATTGTTTACTTCACTCTTCATACTATTGTGAATCAATGCTATATTAAGTTTGTCACTGGCTTTGTAATGTAGTGAAGAGTGTGTCTACAATTAAATATAAAAAAATATTCTGCAAAAGTTGAATTGAGCGATGTCCATCTATCCAGACGTGTCTGTAGATAATCTCTCAAGTTTTTAGTTCTTGGAACACATTATCGATTAGTGATTTTTATGAGTGTAGGTATATATTTTGATATATAATTATGTTGAGCTTTATATAAAAAAATGTTAACTAATATGATGATAGTATCACAAAATTAATTATTTATTATACAATTATATGTATGAAGTACATCAATGATACAACAAAGTCAAAGCTAATATTTTTCTTAATTTCTTGTGTATAAGTATGTAGTATTAAAACAAATAATTCATATCATTGAATTCAGTTATAAAGGATGTCAAATTTTGCAACCGCAATTATTTATAATAATTTAATCTGCAAAAACTATTTTATGTGCCATTTATTTTATGCTAAAATTAAAATTAACAAAAGATTTTTATAATTATTAAATTATATAAATCAAAAACTTAATTAAAATTTGTATAATTGTAAAAAATTACCTTTTATATAATTTAATATTATTTATTATTAATATTTAATTATATTTGGGACAAATAAAATTTAAATCTTTCAAAAAATTTGAAGAGACACAAATTTAATTAACCAAAGTAATTAATTACTATGTTAAATATAATTGCAAAGCTTAAAAAAAAATTAATTGAAGTTTGACCACACATCTGTTTCGAGTATTGCCAAATACCCATCATCAGTGGTCTTGGAAATAGTTCTTGTATTTAATTATTCGTGAAAAATTATTATTTTTCGAGACTGCAAGTACCAGGAATTGAATTCGGGCCCTGCTAAATGTAAAGCTCAGAATCAGGGCACCTTAACCAACACGACCCAAAGAATATAAAATAAAAAAAACGACTTGAATAATGGTAAATTGAATATTATTGGTTCTAATTGAAACGTCTATTGAATAACAATATTTATTTTCTTTAATGGTTACTTCAATTTGAATAGTTTTTTCTGACTCTATTTGATGATTTTGGCTCTAAACGCCGAACTTTAGCATATCTAATATTGACTCGCAACTTCTAAAATTGGCAATAAAAAGAAATTTTGCAAACGGTTTTTGAAATAATCATGAATGTCGGGTTTATTAATTTAGATTGAAATATATTCTGATCATATTGCTGTTTTATGCAACAAATAATATAATTAAAGCGAGTTTTGCTCTCTAAATTTCCTTAAACAGAAACCATAAGATTCGAAATAGCCACAATTTTCAACAAATTTTACTAAAACTTCGAATTTTGACTGCCCTTCATTTATGAACATCAATCATTCAAACACTCGATAAAATTCATTTAGAATATAAGAAGACTCAATCATATTAGACCATATTTCAAATACAGAACTATTAGAAAATATAGATATTGCTTTTTAGTGCAAATCTACAAAATATCGTATTTTAATTCCCATTTTACTCTGTAAAACCGAAATTGAAATCCAACCTAATCAATTAAAATAATTTGGTCTTTATGACAAGAAATAAACAATCCAAGATTTCTTTGATATGTATATATATAAAATATATCGATCAAAAAATTTTTTTAATTTGAACTTGCGGCCCCAGGGAATTTGCCATTGTCTTAAATAAAATTATACTTAGAAGCATTAAAATCGAAAAACCAAATTGGTTACATTAAATATTTTCAAAACAACAACACTGTACTTAATAAATAATATTCTCAAAGCAACAAATAAACCTTCTGCAGAGTCCCAGGTAATAACAATTAATAACATATATTTCTAGAAATCATTTCTCTAAATACGTATTTGGATTTGAACGTAAAAGTTTTCACAAATTGCAGTCAGTGTAGACACCGAGTGAATCAAATCTAATCCAAATGAAATTGAATAAGTTGATATGAATAGAGTTTTCAATGGAAAATACATGTAATATATGTAATATGTAATATATGTAAACAAACTACCATCTTTTCATAACAGATACTTGAAAATCAAGTGACTCCAAAATTAAGAAGTACCGTTATATATTATAAGTTTATGATAGTTATTATACTTATTATAATAAGTATCATAAACTCAATTTTAATCGATGAAGAAAACTCATATTGTGAAGAATCTAAAACTTTTTGTGAAGAATCTTAAAGTTCATTCTGCTAAAGTTCATACATAATATTGTATTCCTCTACTTCTATTTTTAACATTAACAGTTTGACAACTAAAAAACTGATCAAAATCATATGCTTTCAATTAAAAAAGTAAGAGAAATGTTTAATTTAAAGCAGTCCTGTCCAGACCAGATGCGATCGCGGGCCAATACAAGTCACTGTACAGATTGAAGGGCCGCAGAAACAAACACAAACGTTCATATTTGTTTTCGACAAAAATAAAAATACGGTTTTAATGTTAAATTTAGTTTTATTTATATATAAATTAAATTTCATTTATTTGGTATACCATAAAAATAAAATAATGTTCTTTTACCAGAAAACCAAAAGAAAATTTGGTAATTGTAGTAGATTAAGAACATGTCGCGGGCCGCACAAACATGTGATCTGCGGGACGTGCTTTAGACAGCCCTGAATTAAAGCATTAATTTGAGTGAAGCTCGTTTCATTTAAAAATTCCTAGTACATTTTGCACTGAATGTATACACGGTTTTTGTGACTCTATTACTGCATTACAAATAAATTGAATAACTTAATTTATTTTTATCACATCATTTTACCACCACTTAAATAACAAAAGATAAGAAAGTATTAATTAAAAATTTAATTTTTAGCGTAGTTGTATAGACTGCCTTAATTATGCAATTTAATAGTATTCATCTCAATAGCCTTGTTACTCAAAATTTATTGTATTCATTTTTTATCAACAAAATTACTTAAATAATTACTAAAATACAAAAGTAGGTATGGAGGAAGAAGTGCAACCATTTATATGTTTTAGGACGATGGACTCAATTATAGGAAAGTCTTCGATATGCAATTGAATGTACAAAATATTTTAGTTTTAATGTTATTGCTATAGTAGGGGAAGAGGATTAAGGAATTTCCAATTAAAATGTCTATTAAAATGTCTTTTTTATTTTGGCGGCTGGTTTTGTGAGAAACGAATTAGCCAAAACAATATAAAACCACTTACACTCCAAATGTTGCTTTCTGGTAACTGTGAAAGCGCGATTGATTGTCTTACTTCTTTGGTCAGCATAAGGAAACGAGAAAGAAGAGCAGAAATAAGCAACACCTAAAAAAATTAAATAAAATAACGCCGGGTTTTAACTAAATCGAATTATTTTTTGTTTATATCGATCTAAAAGAGATCGGAGTTTTTATAGATTATTGAAAACCTATTATATAATACTCTAATTACATTAATTTCATATTTATGTTTAAATTTTTTTTATTTACTATATATAATTTATTTTTATAATATTATATTATATTAAAGAAAAGTCTTCAATGCCTGTCCTAATTATTTTTATATAGAGAATACAAGATTATAGTGAGCTATTGCTCGAAACCCAATTTTATTTACCGGACCTTATGCTTTTTATAAACGTCAGTACGTTGTATTTTATTTTGTTCTAAACGTTATATTGAAAAAATAATCCGTCTTCAAAATAAATAAAGCTACTGTTACTCTTTACAATATTACCGCATATTAATATATATACAAATATTTTAAAATGCTATTATAAATTGAAAAAGAAAATTTACAAATTATATACAAATTATGTACGAACTGTTATATGTATATATGCTTATATTTATTAAATTATAAATATTGTATTTATATAAATAACATATCAAATATAATTATCACAAAACCAAACCAAATATATTCTTATCAATAACTTTAATATATATTACAAATGTCTTATACAAAATATTTTATTTTTAAGTATTTCTTATTAACAAAAGATAAGTCTTTGTGTACAGCAATAACGATCGATAAAATAAATTGATTAAAATTTGTAGAACTAAACATTTATAGATAAAGTTAGGCATAATCAATGAGTTGCTATGCTACTTTCTCGAAACGAAGCGTAGCCAAAAGCCTCCTTGCGGGTTTACATTAAAGCCACGCATATCATTGAAAATATCTTTGACAGTTTTCTCCGAACGTTCCAATTTACAGTTGATTACTAAATAATATAACATAGCTTTTGCCTGCATCAATGCATAACGATTACCTAGAGTAAAGAAATTAATATCAAAAAATATGAAATTATGAATAAAATATAAAATAAAAACAAATTCGTATACGTCATCAAAGCATTATTTTCAAAAAATAGAATTATACCTATGCAATTTCTAGGTCCTGCACCAAAAGGCAGAAATGTAAATGGTTTAATATTTCCTTTGTTATCATCACTAAAACGTTCTGGATCAAACACATCAGGATTTTCAAAATATTGTTCATCCATTTGTAAACCACCAAGTGGAAACCAAACACGATCACCAAGTTTAAAGTCAAAAACAAAATTATCGTCTTCGTCTGTCAGTTTATAATCCTTAGAACAAACACGATCAGTGAATGAAGCGAAAGACCATTTGCGGAGAGTTTCATTGAGCACCATATCCATGTATTTTAATTTATTTGCTATATCATAATTCAGCGGTTGGTCTTGTAATTCCTCTTTAATTTCAAGACATTCCTCATACAAACGTTGTTGAACATCAGGATTTGACATTAATTCATGACTTGCCGCACAAATTAAGTTTGCGTTATTCTCAAAAGCAGCGAAGAAGAAGATGAAACATTGTGCAACAATTTCTTCATCAGACCAGTGCTGTGCAGAATCTTTCTTAGCTTCTAGTAATAGTTGAATCATGTCGTGACGTACTATGTTATTCTTCTCTCGGTATTTCATGGCATCAATAACAAGGCGAGTAAAGTAATCTGTCTTCTCTTTATCGAAAATTTTCATGCCAAGGTACTGAAAAGAAAATTACCTATTAATTTAATTCTAAAATATTTGTAGCTGGTGCTATTCTTTAGCTTATAACGAGCTATTATCGTAGTTACACAACAATATGAAATTTATTCGTTAAGTGTATAGTATCTTTTACAGTTTTAAAAAAAATTATTTATTTAAAAGTAAATATTAAAATTTTTGCATGTATAAAGTTTTTTATCTACAAATTTTCTATTTGATGTGCGCACAAGATTTGGGTTCAAGCCTCATTGAAGCCTGGTCAAGAAAAAATATCTTTAAAAAATGCTTGGTGGCTCTATTACAGAAATAGAGCTCAATAAGTTCTGCAAAGTGATTACTATAAAATTTATACAGACATTTAAATCCATCTGGTACTGCTAGGACTATACGTGACTTACAGCCAGACAATTTAGCTAAACCTAACCTTCGCATTCAATGTAAATTTCAGAAAATTATTTAATAATTAATCGTTTAAAATTTGGTTCATATCTCTATGAGAACTATTTAGTCTGTCACAAACTACTTTTGCTTATAATTAAGTGCACGCATATATCAAATATGACGAAATAACGTATTATAGCTTACACTCAATTTCAGTTTATCTATTACGATTGAATAAGCGTTAAGGTGATTGGGTTCAGCTAAATTTCATTAAATACTTGTTTGCACTGAAATATTTTTGTTATAATTATATTTGAAAACGTTTGCTATTGAAACATTCCTAATATGTAATGTGTATACTTTTGAACGAGAAAGTTTTATTAAAAATAGATGTAGTACTATATAATAATATACTTACCGTTAGAATCCAAGGTGCTACATTTGAAATCATAAACTTGAACATTTGTGATCCTCTAAAACGAGTAATTGATTGACCCACATTGTAAAATTTATTATTTGGATCCTGATATGAATTAACATTTATTCCAAAGGCAGTAGAAGCAATTATGTCATTTGAGAGTCTCGTAATAAATTGTTTCATTTCGAATTCACAGCTGCCATTTGGCATTTTTGTTTTTAATTTCTTTATGCACTCACTAAAGCATTCATTCATCAATGGAAACATGTTACGCATTTTAGCTGCTGTAAATACTGGAGTCAATGTATTACGCATATCCTTCCAACGCTGATCCTTCATTATATTAAGCATACCAGCTAGCAATGGATCGTCGTCAACATTAATAAAAGGTGTGTGATTTGGAAAATGCTCGAAATCTTTAACAGTAATTTTCTTAATCAACTCTGGCTCATTGATAACATAAACTGGATTACGAAAATTGAAGAAACCAACAATTTTGCTAAATAAAAATGAAAAAACATGTTCATATTCAACAACATGTGAATATAATAACACTTACTGCATTTTATTTCGTTTATAGAATTCAATAACTGTTTTCTGCACAGGCTCTTTGTTCAACACAACACTCCCAAGATTACCAACCATGGGGTAAGGTTTCTCGTAGGGTACGTTACGCTTTTCAAACTCATCGTAGTAAACTGTTAACCATCTATATAACAGCCAACAGGCAAGAAATGCAACTAACACTATTTCAATAAAAACCATTTTAACTACACTAATTTTTTTTTGTTAAATTTCTTTTATTTATCACGGATCCAATTTCACATTTTAAGAACGACTGAACTCACTCACAAATTTTACGCGCTATTTAAACTTGAAATAATAAAAAAGCTTTTGTTTCTTCTGATGTAATTTTGTAGTTTGTCGCGTAGTCTCCAGATCTCGAGTGCTGGAGAGAAAATTTTGATTCAAAAACTCTTTTTTTTGGATGATTTTTGACTGAATATGGTCATATGGTCATCGCTTACTTAATGTGAGAGATATTTTATACTTAGAGATAATAAATTTTTATCAACAGAGAACAAGCTTTATTTTAATTATCAACAAAACAGAGAAGCACATAGAAGCGTTTAACTCATATTGTTTTGGACATTCAGAGTGAATTAAATAGTAAATAAATAAAGTTAGTAAGAGTAAAAATTATTTGATAATAAATGAAATGCAACAGTTTTTTTTAATAAACAAGCGACGTTTTCAGATATATAATTTGTTTATCTATGACGAACAATCTACATTGCTTTTAAACAAAAGTCGTTATCGTTTTGTTTAAATTAATCAAATATTTAAATAATTATGTATTATTAATAAAATAATATTATTATTATTATGTACTATCAAAAAAACGTATTTCCTTAAATATTTGAACATAATGAAGTTCAAACAATATTTGAATTAAGATATCTCAATCTCAACAAAACTTATGCAAAGAAAAAAATTTAGAATAAATATTACTGATATTGTTAAAGACAGTGTTTGATTCAAAAAGACCAAAAAGGAGTTTACAAATACAAAAAATCCATACTTCCTCGCTAAAATATAAACAGCCACAGAAAATAAAATGTTCAATGAATTTAAAAATATATACATATATCCACTAACTGCAGCTCAGTAGTATTTTGTGGATATTATTGAAATATATGATATATTGTCTCGAAGATGGGCAACTCAGCTATTGTTCTGTTAATAATTTGACCGATTATCACATTTTGGAATTTTAATAGGAACATTTATTAAAATAATTACTATTCAACTTATACATAGAATAAATATATGTGTATCATTGACTTTAATATTTATCAGAAATATCATACACCAATATATTTCAATCGATTGATAAAAATATTGTAAATACATAAAATTAAGCACAAATAATGAATTATTATGCTAGTTAGTTTCTTACAACAAAGCGTATCCAAAAACCTCCACGTGGAGTTATATTAAAACCACGCATGTCATTGAATACATCTTTTACAGTGTTTTCTGAACGTTCCAGTTTGCAGTTAACAACTAAGTAGTATAACATTGCTTTTGCCTGCATCAGTGCATAACGATTACCTAAAAGTAATCAAAAAAATTACAAAATAAAATAAAATAAAATATAATACGAAAACTGCATGTCATACCTATGCAACTTCTAGGCCCTGCACCAAATGGAAGATATGTGAATGGTTTAATATTTCTTTTGTTATCATCACTAAAACGTTCGGGAATAAATTCTTCAGGATTCTCAAAATGTCGTTCATCCATGTGCAAGCCACTGATTGGAAACCAAACACGATCTCCAACTTTAAATTCAAAGGCAAAATTACCAAACTCGTCTTTTATTTTGTAATCCTTAGAACAAACTCGATCTGTGATTGGGCCAATAGACCATTTACGGAGTGTTTCCTTAAGCACCATATCCATATATTTCATTTTATTTGCTATATCATAATTTAATGGTTGATCCCGTAATTCCTTTTTAATTTCAAGACATTCCTCATACAAACGTTCTTGAATATCAGGATTTGACATTAATTCGTGACTTGCCGCACAAATTAAGTTTGCGTTATTCTCAAAAGCAGCGAAGAAGAAGACGAAACATTGTGCAACAATTTCTTCATCAGACCAGTATTGTGCGGATTCTTTCTTTGCTTCTAGTAACAGATGTATCATGTCGGGTCGTACAATGTTATTTTTCTCTCGGTATTTCATGGCATCAATGACAAGGTGCATGAAGTAATCTGTTTGTTCCTGATCAAAAATTTTGATACCAAGATACTAAAAACAAAATAATTATTTTAATTTTAATAAATTTAACATTAATAAATAGCTTCACACTTAAGCGTACTTCATGCAAAGATCATTTGCAAAAATTTGCAGAAAAATATATGTTCTGAACAATAATAGTATATATGTAGGACACCGGTAATAGTTCAAGTTACACATAAAATCAAATATCTTTAAAATAAACACACTAAAGCAAATTTCGAAGAGTAGCTGAATAAGTTCATCAAACAAAATGAATCTTAAAGTTTATCGCATTTTGAAGCAGATGTTGTTAACATTTGCTACAAAATTACAAAATCTATATATAGTTCCATTTGGTATCGCTAGGAACCAATAGATCTATAACTGAATCAACCTAACATAACGTTTGTTATCTGCTTGATAGATTACAGCGAGCTACAACAATATAAACATCACTTTGAAGTAAATATATAGTTAGAAAATTACATAAAGAGGCTTTTGGAAAAGTAGTGAACTACAACAACAAACTGAGCGCACCTTAACCAACTGATCCAAAGCCGTACTTGACTTTTTATGTTCGCATATTTTTCTGGAGTTTTGTTATCTTTGCTGCGAAAGTTTTTATTAACAATTTTACTTGCTGTGTTTATATTAGAACGAAATCATAAATTACTTAGCAAATTGCTTAATATTTATCTTTACAAATTTAGGTAATAATTCTTTTAAAACCTAAGTGAATCAAATACTGCTTTATAATTAAATGCTCGCAGTCATAATATATAAAAATGGAACACATAGGTATACATGGTTTTAGTTTATCTATTAAAAGTTATATATTTTTTTTAATTTTAAATATATGTATAAGAAAAGTACTTTGATAAATATGTTCCTAAATTGCAAATAGTTTATTTTTTATTTAAATATAAAAATATATATATTAGTATAAAAATATAGTTACCTTTAAAATCCAAGGTGCTACATTCGAAATCATGACCTTAAGCATTTGTATGCCTCTGAAATTGGTAACTGATTGACCCACATTATAAAATTGATTATTTGGATCTTCATGTGAATTAATACTTATTCCAAAGGCAGTCGAAGCGATAATGTCATTCGAGAGTTTCGTCATGAATTGTTTCATTTCAAGTTCACAGCTGCCATTTGAAAATTTCGTTTTTAAATTTTTCATGCATTCACTGAAGCATTCATTCATCAATGGAAACATATTACGCATTTTGACGGCTGTGAAAACTGGTGTCAATATACTACGCATATCCTTCCAACGTTGATCCTTCATTATAGTAAGTATACCAGCTAGCAATGGATCGTCGTCAACATTAATAAAAGGTGTATGGTTTGGAAAATGATCAAAATCTTTAATACAAATTTTTTTTATCATTTCTGGTTCATTAATAAAGTAAACTGGATTACGAAAATCGAAGAAACCCACAATTTTGCTAAAAAATATAAAGAAATATATTCATAAAACAGCATTTAAATATATTAATACTTACTGCCTCTTATTGCGTTTATAGAATTCAAGAATTGTTTTTTGCCCCGACTCTTTGTTCATCATAGCTTTGCCGAAATTACCCACTACAGGATATGGTTTCTCATAGGGTATATTACGCTTCTTAAATTCATCGTCATGAATTGTCAACCATTTATATATCAGCCACAGGGCTAGGGATGTAACTACAACCACTTCAAGAAAAGCCATTTCAGTTTTTTATATTAAATTTCTTTTATTTTGAATGACTCCATTTACACATTTTAACCACAACTAAACTGATTAATCAATTTTACGCGGTATTTAATATTGAAATAATCATACTTTTTTATTGTAATATTTTTCACTATTTATGAGCATATAGCCAACGATTTTGTTAAAGTGAGTGATATTATGGTCTTAGAGATAATAAATTTTTATCAACAGAGAACGAGCTTTATTCTGGTTATCAACAAAACACTCGGAGAGCTGCTTTCAACTTCTTCAGCTTTGGGCATTATGAGCAAATTAAGCAATAAATAATTAAAGTAATTTAGAAAAAAAAAACCATTTTGAAATAAATAAAAGAAAAAAATTACATTTTTTTTTTTTATTAATAAACAAGCGGCGTTTTTAGTTGCATAATTTGTCTAGCTGTAACACACAATCTTCATGTCTGTTACAGGATTGTCATTATTGTTTCGTTTAAATCAATTAAACATTTTAATAATTATGTATTATAGATAAAATTATTATTTGATTTCATACTGCACTATCAAAAAAAACGTGTTAAAAATTAAGTATATCATTTAAATTATTATGTAAGATGGTTCGCTGTGAACTATGATGATGTGATAATAGTTATGATATGTAACAAGAGATAATCATAATAGTAATAGTAATGGTCATACGTAACAAAAGACCAATTCTTACGAAATATATTTTAAATTATTCTATACATTGAAATAGAGTGTTATATATCAAGCATTTTTTAGTACCAAAAATCTTTTATCTCAAAATAAAATTTACGCTTCCTCAGCACTTGTAATTTACGATCGTATATTTTCTGCAAAATCATTTTGTTTTGATCATAAACCGCAGTCAAAACAAAAGAAGTTACCGCATTGGGATTGGTACCCTACATCTAATCACATGAATATTTTACAAGAATAATTGACGAAATTGTAATTTTTAAAATTAATTAAATACATTTATTCAATCTTGAAAGAAATGTTCATAAGTAAGTCAGGACTTATTTTATTTTACTTTATCAAGGCTCCAAATTTAATATAATATTAATTTGGATATTATACTGTTAGCTTCACTTTTAGTTAATATTAAATGCACTAAGCTACCCCTATTAAGTTTTATGTGCTCAATTCTTGGCTAAGGCAACCATATCGGAATCTAAGGCTTGCAAACGGTGACACGGTTGGATATAGTACCCAATTCTTACACTCGTTTTCTCCTTAAGCAACCTGTGCAACTTTAACAAAGATATGGTAACAAGTTCGTATACGCCCCAAAAAAGGAAGAAGTAATAAATATACTACTATTTAGTACGATTTTCTGTGCTATTCTCTAACGGTCTAAAGCCGACCTTTGATGAGATTATACTTCCTGATTATGCTTACCCAGATTAATTAAAAATTAGTAAGCAAAAAACCATATAGATTCAAATTGAATGAACACGTTATATCTTTAATACAAGCATAGACACCAACAAATTAATATGCCACTAGTAAAGACTTTATATTACGTTGAACTAAGTATGCTTAGTTGTCATACATTTGCAATCATTTTACAATTTGATTAATTTCGTAAAGAAAGTGGAAAATTATCATTTTGTTTTGATAGATAAGCATAAGATTCGGTTAACAGCGCCGCATATCAAATCTAATCAAATAATTAATTGATATTAAGGAACAACTGTATGCATATATATTTACTTGTCCAGTGGAATTTTCACATCGTTGTATATATGTAAGTCGTTGAACCTTATCTTATATTGAATACAGAGTTCAGTAATGAATTGCAGAATATTTTAAAAATTGCTCATTTTGTCTTTTTATGTTTGGAAAGTACAAAAGCACCAAATATTTAAGTAGATCCTTAAGTCTCTTCAAAAAAACAGTAAATATTTCGCAGTTCTTAGCTCTTATTATATTATTATTATTTTCTTATTATTTTAGTTTAATGTTCTTTGAATGGTCGGGTCGGTCTAATAAACATGGAAGGCATCACTTATTTCAAGTTTTCAATATCCTTAAATGATAATTTCTATAATATATTTGTAGGAAAACTTTTATTTTTATGCAAAGATAATGTACTGTATATCTATATTTATTCTGAAACATTGTTAGTAGTTCTCTTCAGTGGGTGATTACGATGTTAAAATCTATTGCTATAGGATAAACTTTCCTCAATTCATACAAAATTTATAAAACTAAAAGTAGTAAGTTAAAAGTAGCAATAAATCAATATAATATACAGAAATAAATATTGTTGGTTGTGTCAGACATAAAATAAATCACCGAAATGATACTGAATATAGTGACACAGTAATAAATATTAAAAAGAAAATATGTCACTTTGAATTTATTGGTCAACATACTAGATGGTCAATCGGCAATGAAAGAACTTAGGCATAAAAACTTATTGTTTATAACATCAGCAATCCTATGTCCATCTAACTCTAAATTATGAAATTAAACACATATACTGGGAATTAAAGCTGACAAGCAATAAACCAAGGAACAAAAAGATACAATTCACAAACTCAAAGAGTAGCATCATAATATCGACGAATCAACATATTAAACAATATATGAAAAATATTCTTGATATCAAAAATCCATATATAAAAATATAAATCTTTATACCATTTTCATCAAATCCATATATGAATTATTATCTAACCAGTTGCCAATTTAAATTATTTCGGTACAATAAAATTTATTTAGAACAGATCACGCTACATAGATTTCATAATTATTAATTAAAGTTGAATATATACGATAATAATTCAAAAACAATATTCCAAGCACATATAAACAAACAGAAAATGAGGTAGTAAAATAAAAAGAAATATAAATTGTTTGTAAAATATTTAAAATTTTATGCTTTTTTTGTGTTTTAAATCTTCAACATTATTTTATTCTAAATCAATTCAAATACATTACATTAATTATAATGTATTGGGCATTGATAAAAAATAATTGTCAGTTTTTTATATTCCAAAAAATAACAAATAAAAAATATTTGACTCTTTCGTGAGCAAATAAACACTTTTTGTAGTTTTTTGGCAATTCTAGTATGTAAGGTTGTGATGACTTCATTCACCAATAAAACCCTACAAATTCAAAAATATTAATCTTATTAAAATAATAATTTTTTTTAACTGCGCAAATTAATTTTCAAAATTTATTCTAAAATCTTATCTCTATGTAGGTGGTAGAAAACCGGCTACTACGTCGGATATTATTTTATAACAAACGTTATATATAATTATTGTTATTGCAATACTATCGAGTTATGCAAAGAAATTAAATATTTTTGTCATAAAGGCAAATTCATAGATAAAATACAACAGTAGGCTTTCTGTTGAAGGAGATCTGTTGTTGAGATCAAGCTAATCGACAAGTATCACTGATAATTCCATTAAAGCACAAACTTACAGACTGCTATAAAGGCATAAAGTCGATAGACTCATTTATGTGTTAAGTATTCAACTTAATTTTGTACTCGAAATTAATAATTTTAAGTCGGGAACTATCAAAAACGTAAGAGATAAAAATATAAAAAGCTTAAAAAGGATATAAACGTACCTCTGCAATCAAATCAAAAATCAAAAAATACAACTATATTATTCGCCTGATATTCTAATAAAACATTGTTAGCATTCTTAATTTTACTGTTTATCACCATACACCCTAAAAAAATGCCTTTAAAATTCTTATAAATCACATTTTATAATTTGAAGTTGCATATTATTTCATTACTTGCTATGGTTAGGTTCCGTTCAAACCAACCTGCTTAAGATCATTCTGAAGATAGACAATGAACTTAAAATATTATGAAATTCTCTTCTCAATTTCATGCACACCACAAATATTTTCGTCATCAACCGCACCGGAGTTAATAGATCAGGTTATTTTAACGATTAACTTTTGAGAAGATACAAGATACAAATGTCTTCTCTTTGCTTGAAAATAAAATTAAGAGAACATAAACATTTGTTGATTGTTTTTAATTTTTAAATAGTAAAATATACTTAATGATATGTTGAAAAATAGAAATATATATTTTGGACTCTTCATTCGCAATAAATAAAGCTCTTAAATAATTAACTTTTGTTTTTTGAAGCGTACTATTGCATATATTTATAAATATACATTGTTTAATAAGGTATTGTTACGTTTTATATATGTTCTCTTCATAATTATAAGCTTTTATTGATTAAAATTAAATTTATTTAATATACAAAAAATGGTACTGCGCAGATGAAACGCACATGCCTAATTTGTGCATCGGAATCTTCATTTATATGAAACCAAATCATTAAATCAAAAACGTGAGATAAGATTTTATCTATCATTTAACGATTGCGCCAATTTTTTTGCATATTTTATAAATTTGTAATACATTGAGTATAAAAATTATAAGGAATAATAAAATAAAATATAAAATGTTAAAATAAATTCATATCATTCTCATTGCAAATAAAAATAGGCCGCATGGATATTAAAGCTGTAATGACAGCAAGCATATTAGTAAGCGCTGTCAAGTCAAGAGCTTGACCCAATTCAATGGGCTACCAGATTTTCACAGAGTTTTTTTTAATCACCGCATTTGACTCGATATTGCTTCCTCGATATGATGACTTAGGTTTCAGAGTCAAGAAGTTTCCAAGCCACATGGAGCCATGTCAGGCAAGAACAGTGGTTAAGCGCTTGATCGAAAAATATTTTGCAAAACGGAGTTTCTTTATCGGCGGTATTTTTATTGAGAAGAGGGATAGTGCATTGCGACCTATTGTGCACCGTACTTGGACTACAGTGTTGCTATAAGTCCGATTTCTTTAATGTAAGACAGTATTGAGCCTATCTTTCCTAGTTTTGAATCCTTATGATCACGTAATACCCTCCTAGGTATTTCTTCCGCTTGTGCATCAGTAGCGAGTACTCCCCGATGACGTGGTGTACAGTTTCTCTCTCTTCTCTACTGTATACGCAGTCTGAGTTAGATTGAATTTCTATTCTAACCGGTATTTTTTTCTTA